ATACCAGTCTGAATTTATACTGTTTGATTGAATTGCTTACCTGACGGTTCACGAAAGATACGAGTCTCGCATTATGAGTGGACGCTGATACCTTCTGGCAAATATGGAAAGTACAGTAGCATTCAAGATCGTGAATCTTGATAATGGAATGTTACCAATCCACTGGGGTTGGGGTTGGGGCAGGCCGCAAGATGATCGGAAAGAGTGTATTCTTCGACCATACTAGAATCGACCTGGACAAATCGAAATCGCGGCTGAGTGCGGCAGAAGCGTCCAAAAGCGACGATACGAGGGGACTACGGTGGCTCCTTGACTGAATGTGTAACAGGTAATCCTTCTCATATCCCATGAATATGGCGAATCAAGGTTGACAGGAGATACGGAATTAAGCTATTGAATTTGAACTTATTCGTAACGGGCCTCAAATGGTGCGAGCGAGTATCAGAATCTTACCCCAGGTTTAGAGCAAATTTTGTAAAGATCTAGGATGAATCTGTGGTGTCCAGAGGCAGAAAAAGGCGATGTCAAAGCGAGTGTTATGAAGCTTGTGTTTGTTTACTCGGACGCTTGAGATAACCATCATCTGTCATCATCTTTTGGAATTTATACGCTCTCTCATTCGTTTACAAGCTTATACCACTATATCATTTGAATCTTGACAAAATGGATGACGACTCCGCTGAAATCGAGTTGGTAAGGCTACTTCACTTTCCAGTGGTCGAATGTCAGTAACATTGTGTTAGCTGGAACAGAATCTGAGTAAAACCCACCAGATCTCTCAGAAAATGACAAGTAAGCCTTGTCGTGAACGTCTGTTACTTTTGACTTAACCTACCAGCTATTTTGAACAGCTTTGATACGCGCCTTGCCAGGCTTGAAAAGTCCATCTTGCCACTTTACAATTCTGCTCAAATATTGAATCGAAGAGCAAGCAGTACGTGATATCTTTCACCCAGTTACCGAAGATCATCGAGCGCCTGCAGATATTGAGAAGGCCCTATTGAAGATCGACGAGGTGGCAAGTAATCAGGAAGGAATAGCTGCTGAAGAGGCATTGATTCTGAGAGGGTGCGTTGTCCGCTATCGCGCGCTCTGTTCAATTGACGACGAAGGCAATGCAGGCCTCAGCCAGGACAATTCGAAGTATACAAGGATGCCCTTCAGCGCCTCAACGCTTCGATCGCATTCAAAGCCTCTGATCAAGATACCCTCGACACAGCCAGATTGGTTGAAACAGGCGCCAAAAAGCTTGCTCAACTTTACACCAAACTCGTCGCCGAGGGTTCTTCTGGCACTACACCAGCTCCCGGCGTTGAAATAGTCAAAGCTCCATTCTCGTCGCAATTACGCATTACACTTCAGCCCATAGTCGCTTTTCTCCGCACGTTGCCCGTCCCGTCTACTCATCCATCACATCCAGCTGCCGCTGCGATTCTTACCACACTCAAGGATGCTCAGCGCGGGTATGCTGATATGCGAGGGACGTGGGGTAAGAAGTGTCTTGAGGCACATGGGAAACGCGTCGTGGATCGCGCGGATACCGTTGAACCCATCGCCACAGGGAGGGAACTCGGAGCATGGGTTCAATCCGTGTTATCTGTGGCCCGCGAAGAATATGATCTGCTCATCGAAATGAGCACGCTAGTTAGTCCATCACAACTGGCGTCTCATTTCGGTAATCTACTTAATCCGCTGGTGCTTTTAATGAGCACCACTATCACAGCACTGGTCGCTTTTTCTAAGCGATCTCTGCAAAAATATGGGTTTTTGATACTCTCAGTTTATGAGGCGCTGCTCGAGCTGCAGCCAATGTGGGAAGAAATTTTTGCACTCAAGGTTTCTCCTGAGGGTCGGAATGACAATCGAAAGGAAACGAACGAATACAAAGACGTTCTTCACGTTGTTCGAATGGTGTGCATCAGGATGTTCCCGGAAGCCCTTGCGGATATCAAGCTTTCAACAGCGGGAAGGACTGGAGACACGAGTACAGCGTTATTAGATGCTTCACTGGAGGTGCGCTTTTCTTCAATATCGACGCTCTTGGATTCACGGAATATTCCACAGGCTGTTCAGTTTCTCAACAACATGCAAGAGGTTCTTGTGGGTTCTAGTGACATCTTATCCGTCGTGGGAGATGGAAACTGGAAGATGGGAGAGGGTGTCGTAGTCAAGAAGCAAGCAATAGTCGAAGTTAGCGCGCAAACGTTATTAGAGCATTTTATTTGTGCGTTTTCTCCCTATTCAGCTTTCTTCCGCTACTACCACTCACCTTACCCATTTTTTTCACTTCTTGGGCTGTGCCGTGTAATAAAATGTTTCCTTTCCGTAGATGATATCGTCGTCACCATTATCAACACGGTCAGCCTTATTGCTCGTACACAAAGGCGCCCTCCATTCGATTCGTTTTTTCTTCTCAATAACATTGCCTATATTCGCAAGAATATCCTCGAGCCACGACAAGAATCACTAATTGATTATCTCACTAAGCCTACGCAAGATATCCTGAACTCGAACTTTCGTACCGCGAAAGCGAGCTATCTTGATGCTAACTTTTCGCCGCTCATGCAGTCACTCTCGGACGATCCCAAGGAAAAAGGCAAAGCCGCGACGAAGGAAAAGTTTACGAGATTCTATGACCTACTTGAGGAAGTATTGGAGAGGCACAGACTAGCAAAAGTGCTGGAGGATGACGCAGAGAGCAGAGAGGCAATAGGGAACGATGTCATCAAGTTTCTCATTCCATCTCTCAAAGCGTTCACCCAAAAACACAAAGAAAAGGAATTTAGTAAAAGTAAGCCAGGCTCTCGGGAAAAATTTTGCTCGATCTTTGCTGACGGTCCATTTTTTCTCTAAATCCTGCTACGATTCGTGATGTTTAGATCCCCAGAAATGTACAGATACTTCGCTATTGTTCCCGTACCCTACTGATTCCTTCTATGTTCTTAGATATCAAGCTGTCCGCGGAAACAGTTGAAAGCCAGCTGAGAAGTATCTATCGATAACCGGTGTACTGTGTACTCTGTAGGAGTTGTATTTATAACCATTCCCTTTCCAAGTCTTCACGAGAAATTGGGAACGCAAATGAACGCTTCCATCCTGCCTCGTTTTTTAGCTTCAGGTTGTGGAGTGTAAACATCGAGGACTGGTTCATCTGTTGGTTCAAGGTATGTATAATACGTCAAATGACTCTAGCTAGTGAGTTTACTACTTCGTCATGTTTTTTCTTGTTGGTGACCAACCTATCGGGCATACGTAGACTCTTCAGTTCCCAACTGCTCTCTTACGACAAGGACATGCAGATGCTCTGATGTTATGGAAAGAAATACAGTATGCTATTGGCCAAACTCCAAGCTCCGTTCTGCCAAAATCTGTACTATTCGTACGATCTTTCCGTTCTGATTGGTTAACACGAAATCAATACCGTTAATTTTCCTGAATGCACGTATGTCAACTTACGGTAATCGTCTCTGTCGGTTTCTCGATATTCCCAGAAACACTGCCAAACGCCAAACGCCTCCGACGTCACGCCTGGTCTTGAGAAGCTCCGAGGGCCTTAAGGCTTTGGATGGGCTTTAAACGGCGTTAAATAATGTAGGAATTACACTCTGCATGGGTTCACTTACGCAGGGTCGTACTCGGCAGGAAGAGGAGGCCTAGAAGTATTCTAACAGGATGAGTATACAGCAGTATACAGGATTCTGTTTTTCACCCTTGGGAAAGTTCAACTAGTTCGAGGCACGAACATTCTAAACCAGAATGGCAATCAAGTTCTTGGAGGCTCCTTGAAAGTATATCAATGCATTCAATTGTGTCTGACATGAAGGCTTCTGGCTATTAGGTAGTCCGATTCGTATTAAGTGATTTGTTCTTCTCATGGTCTTTCTTCTGACATCCGTCAGGCTATATCTGACACACTATTCTGTCGAGAATAGATCCCATTCACCAAGGGTTTTTACAGAATACAACCTGCACGGTACGTCCTGGTCCATCCTGGTCCATCGATTCCAGGTCGAGCCTTTTTTTCCTTCGTTGTATTCAGACAGGTCTCCCTAACGGTTCCTAACAGATGCGAGAATTTTTTTTAGATGTTTGATTAAGAGCTGGAGCATCGACTACGCGGGTCATATTCAGACATTGCGTACAATTTCTTGGGGCAGTCCTCGGAACAAGCCTGAGGATCATACCTTTGCACTGTCTTGAGAGGTCTTGGTAGGGACGACGAAAGGTATAAAAGCTGGGTACTGAGTCCGAATAATCTTCACTCAAACAGCCAGCAGCCGTCGTTCAAGTACTCTCCATACTCATCATGCAATTCAAACTTGCCTTCGTCACCGCCGCTCTCGCTACTCTTGCGGTCGCCACACCGACTCCTCGAAATGAGCCGGCAAGCAGCTGCTCTACTGGACCTATCCAGTGCTGCGACAGCGTTCAGTCTGCCTCTAGCAGCCCTGTCGCGATTCTTCTTGGCCTCCTCGGCATTGTTCTCCAGGATGTGAACCTGAACGTCGGTATCACCTGCTCTCCCATCACTGTCATCGGTGCTTCTGGCAGCAGCTGGTAAGCTTCTGGTACACTCATTTATAGTAGAGCATTTGTTGATGATGTGTATAGCTCTGCACAGGCCGTCTGCTGTGAGGATAACAGTCACGGTATGCTCGTGCCTCTTACTTCCTTTTTTCGTGTAGCTCTGACCCTTTTTCATAGGTGGACTGATCTCCATCGGCTGTCTTCCCGTCTCTCTCTGAGCCACATATTTCAACACGGCTTATACGCGAGCTCGCTCGACTTGACTTCGACTGTATATGCATTGCTTGGTCATTTTCGTTACCTTGACTGTAATTGGAGTTGGAAACTGGGTTTGTGGGTTTGTCATGCGTTGTGGAGCTGTGGTCGAAGTAATTCTATATTGTTCAACACATCCTTTTGTGGATCCAAGAAGATAGTCTTTCATTGAATAACCAAAAAGTTGATTAGTTGCACTTTGAAAGCCATGTCTTCGTGGCCGCCTGGCGAAATGGCATCGCGTCTGACTACGATGGTCTTGCGCAATAGTAATCAGGAGATTGCAGGTTCGACCCCTGCGGTGGTCATTACGCATTTCCAATTTTTTGATTCTTGATTATCGTTATGACTTTCTACGAGCATTGTAGCTCGGCCTTTCTTTCGTTGAATGATGTCCTTCTTCTTACTGGATCACTTGTGGTCTTCCGAATGTGAACACAGTGGCATGAATGAATGCCGAAAATTCAAAATGATTGACCAGTCGCTACCAGGTGTCCCGGATGAATGAACTTGTAAGTAACTAATCAAACACGTCCAGTTCAATCGAGCGCCCTCATTCGACGATCTACTCATGCTGCAAGCAGCACCGGACAATACATTTCGCTATCTTTTGCAGCTTGCTAGTGAAATAGGTGGGTCTGGGGCGGTTCAAACCTGGTCCCACGGTATTCTTATCTTATCACTTGAATGTCCGGGGTTTTTGAAATTGTTCCTCAACGTTCAACTCCCAGAGGAGACCAAGTTGTGGGAGGAAAAACCGACGCCCAGCGACCGCGTATTAATCTTCTATACGACCAATTCAAGAAACACAGACGAATAAACTGCCACTCACGATGCTCGTTAAAGAACGTGATGAGCGCGACGTTCAGAGCAACTACGACCCTGACAACTTAGACGACTTGGACGATTTCAGCGAGTCCGACCTTTCATCCTCTCAATACTCTCCCTCTGAATTCTCTTCATCTAACTCGCTTTCGCCTACCCGATTCTACCTACGCTCTCTTCTCCTACCCATTGTCGAACGAGAATCTCATGTTATATCTCGTCTCCAACGACGATTCCGAACACCGTTTTGGGATAAATATTTCGTTTATACCAGCTCACTTGGAACACATACCTTTTTCATGATTTTACTACCGGCGATGTTCTTCTTTGGCTTTAGGGATATGGGGATGGGGTTGGTCATGGTGGGTCAATCGCATACACATTGTTGGTATCAAATGCTGACAAGCAAGACTTGTACAATGTAGGTTATGGGCGGAGGAGTTTACGCGAGCAGTATTGTGAAGGACCTGGTTTGTAGTCCAAGGCCATTGGCGCCGCCCGTTACACGTCTGAGTAAGTAAACAACTTTGTTTCCATCACTGCAATAACATTATCTATTACTGCACTGCAGCCATAGGCAACCATCATCTTGAATACGGCTTCCCATCAACGCATTCGACGAATAGCGTCTCTATAGCTCTGTTCTTCTGGGGATACGTTCACACGTTCTTTTACGATGATTCTGTTGTCTACTGGACCTGCACAGTCATTCTCCTCATCTACACACTCTCCATCGTGCTAGGCCGGATTTATACTGCCATGCATTCATTTATCGACTGCATCTTCGGGGTGTTACTTGGAGCTAGCGTTTGGTGGTGTGTAACGGATTTGAATATCGGGGGATATTTAACCGGGTTCGGGTTTTCTGCCCGACTGCAGGCTTGGATATCCGACGCTGTATCGGGGTCTGCAGCGAACAGCAGTGCAGCAGCCTCGTCATTGTCCTTGTCATTCTCATCAACACTCTCCGCAATCACATGTTCTCCAATCTCTCCGCCACTTCTTTTGACAACTTTCTTCCTCCTTCTCGTCAACCAGCACCCTCAACCAATCGACGATTGTCCGTGCTTCGAAGACGCTATAGCATCTGGTGCAGTCGTTTTCGGTGCCCTCCTTGGCCGGTGGGCGACTGCCTACTTCCACCTGCACGACCTTATCGAACGTTTGGGTGGTCCCAAACCCATGCTGGGCGCCGGATGGAACATCGTAAACATTCACAATGAAAACGAAAACGTTTGGGTACCCATTGACCGAGGATTCAAAGATTATACCCTTTTTACCGTTGTTGCCTTCGCTAAAATTCTCCTTGGAGTCACCTTTATCTTCATCTGGCGTCTATTTGCAAAATCGCTCTTAGGCCTTCTCCTTCCTCCATTATTCCGGCTTGTGGCACGAGTGGTTGGCGCAGCCCGAGTCAAACTGGGCATGAGGTGGCTAGGGATGCCTAATCGAAGATTTTATCTTCCTGCGACGGAGTATAGGGGACCGGTGCCAAACGGGTTTATCGGTATAGAGGAAGGAGAAGTTGAAGGAGATGAGTATGAACTTGGGAGAAGGATGGGATCAATACCTTCTGTCATCGACCTGCCGTCGACACTGACGGTCGGTGTGGAAATACAAGGTGGGATCGGCAGTGGATTTGCGAGGGATAGTCACAGGAATGGAAATGTCGGACGCGAGATCAAGAGTCGAGCAGGGAATGGAAGCTCAAAACTTTCTAATGAAGTGAATGCCGAGGAGGATATAGCCTACACCCCGGATGGGAATGAGGACAAATTTGGAAGTGGAAGTGGGATGAGAAAACATATACATTATGATGCCGATGGTGAGCTTTCTTCCATTTCGTCAATGACTGGTGCTCTTCAGTTTCTTACTTCAAACGTCTGATTTGCTTCATATTTTGTGTGTCACTTTATTTAACTTATCTAACGGTTCCTCACTTATCATTTGTTCGTATCTCCAACTCCTGTCGTCCGCTCTATCATTCTTACTGTCATGATCCTTCGATCATCATTGCCATTACCACTACCATCAGATTATCCATTATTTTGAGACTTGAACTCGCCTGCGCTTTTTTCGCATTGTTTTCATCTTCGCCTTTTTTTTCCTACCCAGTCGTTCCTTACATATATTCGCTTTCCCGTCTATCTGACACTCACATAATTCTTTCTTCCTATTTACATAACAGTTCTCACCAAGATTCTCGTCTACGCCGGTATCGCCATACTCTCGATAGAGGTGACCCCCTTGGTGTTTGAGCTGCTTGGGTGGGGAGTATACGTTAGTCCACCAGAAGGGGTTTTGGTCCATTCTGTCCAGGTAGCCTAGGTCGTTCGTTGGTGGTCAATTTCAGTATCTACTAGGGTCATAATCGCGCAGGTTTCCGAACATTTTACTCCGAACTTTCAGTCTGAGTTTGATGATTTCGACTACGAGGAACGAGAGGAAGCTGGGGACCATCCTGATACTCCAAGATCCAGGTGATGCGGCCGAATTCTGCGATGGAGGGTTGTAGTCAGGTCGAAATCGGGGTTAGTTTTCTCTCAAAGTCGGGAACAGGTCGGGAATGATTTCTATCTGAGCTGGTGGTTGAACGTGTGTCGTGTATATTGTATGTACGTTTTATGCCATGAGCTATGCTGCTACATGTCCCTCAACTTATTTACTCAAGTAGTATGGTCTGCTGGTTTCTGGTCCTTCGTACTCGTCGTCCCTTGTACTTGACAGATTGCTTTAAATTCAACAAAACATCCGTTCGTTGACAATCCACCCTCTTCGTTCTGAAGCTTCTTTTCAAAAACAATACCTGGGCAATACTTTTGGTTAGATACTACGTTCCCAAGGTTTTTCACAGGTTTAGTGTCGGTTTTCTGACTCGTGTAGCCCACGAATAGATCTTTGAACTCAGGCCTCTGCTTGCTTGTGAACTTACGACATTGGTTGGGAAGAGTTGATACTTGCGGTAAGCTTTCCTATAGGCTTTCCTCTGTCTTCCTTCGGTGTTTTTGAGAATCTTTGGTATAGAATCTTGAAATTTACAAATTACCATACACTGACCATACATAGAACGAGCGTCCTAAAGTTTAAACCCAGTATAAATCAGAAAGGCAATTAATTGAAGATAGCTTCCTTGACTTTTGTCTTCGGTAAGTCCATTCAATTTAATGAGACGCATGGAATACAAGGGAATACAATGTTCTTGTTTGATGTGTGTGTAGGAAAGGCTTCTCCCATTGTCGTTTGATACGCGAACATCAATAGAAGAATCAGGATCCGGTATTTTGTCTTCATCCTTCTTCACCAGGCTGATTAATCAACGACAGGGCCCTGACAGGACTCGGAAACATCGTCAGAAACATCGTCACGATAATACCTAACCACCAGCTGACCACCCGGTTCTGTCAAACACAGACGGGCCTCAAGCTTCAATATCCACCTCATGTGCAGTATAGATTCGGATAATTTCTTTGACAAGAAATTGACGACGCGGAGAGGTTTGTCGCCCTGGTCATGACATTTCTCACCATCGTATCTGCGGAACATGCTCAATGGTCATAAATTACCCTTGGGTTTGTGGCAGCCGTCTTGGAGGAAGGGGAGGAAAAGGATATAAAAGCTGGGTGAAATTCTTGAATATTCCTCACTCGAACAGTCCACATCGTCGTTCAAGTACTTCTCTCTACCCTCATCATGCAGTTCAAACTCGCCTTTGTCTCCGCCGCCCTCGCTACCCTTGCGGTCGCCACACCTGCCCCCCGTGATGAGCCGGCCAGCAGCTGCTCTACTGGGCCCATCCAGTGCTGCGACACCGTCGAGTCTGCCTCCAGCTCTGGCGTGGCCGGTCTCCTCAGCATTCTCGGCATTGTTCTTCAGGACTTGGACGTGCTGGTCGGTCTCACCTGCTCCCCCATAACTGTCATCGGTGCTTCTGGAAGCAGTTGGTACGTATCTATCCTCTTGATAACGGACACATCATTCACAATATATGCAGCTCTGCGCAGGCTGTCTGCTGTGAAGATAACAGTCTCGGTATGATTATGCCTCTGAATTCCTTTTTCTTTTCTAACTGTTCTCAATAGGCGGACTCATCTCCATCGGTTGTGTCCCTGTAACTCTTTAAGCACTCGGAAGTTCCTGATGACTCGACGCGCCATCTCGCATCCTCTTTTTGCGAGTCTCATTACATTGCTATGTCTATATACTCTCGCTGCTGCTTGACATGATTGTGGAGAGTTGGTGTTTGTGATGGGTTATCTCAGGTAGTATGTAATAAGCAAATGGAATGGTTGTTTCGTGCTGAAGCATCTGAATCCATAACTTAATTCGGTCTCAGAAAACGAGGTATATACATAGGCTGGTAAAAGAGATTGCGAAGCACGATACATTTGTAGTAAAATGCAAGACTGAACACTTCTTGCTTCTCATTACCATCGAACCAATAATGAGATCTCGACGGCTCCGGCTCGGAATGTCAGTTCTTGTA